TATAGTGGACCCTGATCATCCAACGCACTACCATAAGAAAATGACTGACAGTGGTGGGAACCTATGGGGGGAGAGGGGGATGGGACTAATGGTAGTAAACATCTGTCTGGGGATGGGGAGACACCTGTTATCAACAAGGGGGCCTGAATAAAGCATATTTGTATACCTAACCCTTAACTGTACCCCACAATATAATAAAAAATATTGATTAAAAAAATAAAATAAATAAAATGCTTATCAAATAATTCCAAAAAAAAAGAATATACAATTTTTTATAAGTAAATTCTGGGGTTTTTTGGGTTTTCATATATCAACTCTGTCCAATTCTTTATCTCCAATGAGTGCTACTGCTCTTTTCTAAACTTTGATCATCTCTCTCACCTCTAATTCATTTCCACAAAGACAAAGTGATATTTTAAAACTGTTTATTGTACCAAGTAACTTTCCCTACTTAAACCCCTTAGGTAGGTTCCTACCACACTTGGAATAAAATTTCAACTCCTTATCATGGCCAATACTCTAAATGATTGTCCTACAAAGTCATCTCAAGTTACTCTTTCCTTCTTTCAATTGGTTCTTCTTTCTGTTCCTTTTTCTACTTCAAGATGGTTTATATGCCTTTTATCTGTATGGTCTTTGTCTAGCCAACTTCTTTCTAACATTTAGGTTCCAGTACTTGACCACTATCTCTTCCATTACTTTCCATCACATTATCATTTATTTTCTTCACAGTATATATCACAACTTTTAAATGTCCTGTTTATTGTCTATTTCCATCACTATAAGTAAAATTCCAAGGAGGTAAGGATCAAGTTTATCTTGTTCTCTACTCTACCTCCTAATTCTAAAACAAGAGCCTAGAACACAGCTATAAATTTATAAATGAAGTCTTTAATTCCATAAAACAGCCACCATAACCAAACAAATAAAAGAGCACATAGTTCAAGGCTTGTTGACAAGCACTTTATTAACTTTCTGAATTCTGCAACAATCTGCAGAATTCTTTCAATTAGAATTATCTTTTTGTGCCCTTTTCCCTACGACCTTCTTTGATCAGAGGAGTTCTGTCCATTATGAGATACATGGCTGTTCTCCTAAGGTTCACAGTACAGTAAGTCCCCTAAATATGGACCTTCAAGTTGCCCACTTTCAAAGGTGTGAATGTGCAGGTTCACTTGATGCCAGCCTCTGTATGCCAGCTGTTGTACTGTACTATACTACTGTACTATTCAAGGTACTGTACATTAAGATTTAAAATGTTTTATTTTTTGTGTTTTTTTAATGTATTCTTCGTGTAAAAAGCATTATAAACCTATGACAGTACAGTACTAGCCAACTGTGTTAGTTGGGTACTTAGACTAACTCTGTTAGACTTACAAACAAACTGGACTGACTTATTTGTCAAGGCTTGCTGAAAAGCATTTTATAACTTTCTGAATTCTGCAACAATCTGCAGAATTCTTACTGTATAGGCTGGCGCACAGAACAACATGCTAACAACAAAACATTCACCACAAACTGTTTTCCATTCTAGAGTTCAATAAAGTTTTAGTAATTCTTTACTTTGTCATCACTTTTGTGCATGAATATATATTTTAAGAGTATACTTCATATATACTTTAATTCTTTCAAAGCCAAAATGATTCTGTAAAAGCTATCAAAAACATTAGAAAAGGGACTTGAGAAAACACACAAGTCAATTTGCTCATATTACAAAAAAAAACATCAAGGCCCAAATAAGTTGGTAACGTCTTAGTGGTAGAGCAGGCAACAGATCCCTGACCTCTTGATTCTTGATCTAGTGCTACTTCCATGTTACCACCAAGGTCTTCCCAAGTTAAGCATGCTTGCCTGGAATTATTCCTAAAAGGAATTAGGAATAATCAAGCATGGTTCTACTAGTATCACACATGGACAAAATTGGTTCAAACAAAAAAACTGCATGATGGACGGTCTGCAAATCCACGATGAAATCATAAGGCTTGTCACAAGTCTAGTAGTAAAAAAAAATTTCAAAGACAAAGTTATTTTAAGGGAAATTCTCTTTCATAATATTCAAATATCTTAGAAACGGATTTTTCTCCTCAACATTAAATTTTGATAGAATATTTCACAAAATATTGTGTTAAATTTTACATGTTTACAATTTAGATTTGCTACCTTTAAAACAAAATTTTCAGTTTCCATTAACTGGAACAAAAAATCATATCTTTATAACTATTCCATCTTTATTTCATTATACCTGAAATTGTCTACATCATTTCAGATATTTCACTGCAAATATTTCTGTCAAACATGAATAAATTTTTCCACATCAAGTCTATATTAATCCTGAAGTACCTCACAAATTACTGTTTAATACAAGAATTACATTTGCCAAAATGAGAAATGCATAGTAATCCCAGAAACAAACACTTAGTACTGCAGTGAAAGGAAAATACCAATTAATAACACAATTAATGCTTCATCATTCAAAGACTTATCCAGTTCAAACTGCTTTTGCTCTTTTGCTACTGTTGCTTCATACTACTGTCATTTGACTTTTTCATGATAGTAATAGAAATTGCAAAGCTGTCTCTTACTAGTTTTGGTTAATTTTAAATTAAATGAAGGCAGGGCATGGTGGCTCACATCTGTAATCCCAGCACTCTGGGAGGCTGAGGTGGGATGACTGCTTGAGTCCAGGAGTTCAAAGTCAGCCTAGACAACAGAGCGAGAACTCGTCTCTACAAAAAAAAAAAAAAAAAAGTTTTTAATTAACCAGGCATGATGGTGTGTACCTGTAGTTCCAGCTACTTGGGAGGCTGAGGCAGAAGGATCACCTGAGCCCAAGAGGTCAAAGTTGTGGTGAGCCATGATTGTGCCACTGCACTCCAGCCTGAGCAAAAAAACACTAATGAAATTACTGATTTTAATGTAGAATACAAAAGAGGTAATATTAAGGACTTTTTTTCTTTATTCATTCCTCACTTCTCAATTATAACTAATGGATGGTTAACCAGAACTCCTATAACTGCTGATAGGAGTGTAAAATGATGAAACTACTTTGGAAAGATAAACAAATGCATACCCTATGGTCTAGTAATTGTACTGCTAAATATATATCCAATAGAAATGTATCCATATGTATACCAGAGAAACATATTTAAGAGCATTCATGGTAATATTCATAATAGCCCCAAACTAGGACCAACTCAAATATCTATCAACAGCGTGACGAATACATAAATTACA